AAAAAAAAAAAAAAAAAAAAAAAAAGATGTCTGCATGTGGCAAAAAACGAAACAAAGGGCCTCGCTCCACTACTCTCGACACGCACAAAAGGACAAATATCATGGGAGTGTATCTTTCCGTGTTCGAGCAGAAGATTCACTGCCCTTCCTTTGGATATCAAGAGTAGTGGAGCGAGGCCCAAAGACGAGGGTTTCTGACTTAGTTCGTGACGTTGCTTTTTTCTTTTCTCTTTGCTGACGTGTTGTGTGTGTGTTGTCAGATTCGCTGTGCATGTTGGCCGAGGTCGGAATGGCCGGTAGGGACAGAAATGAACTGGCCTGTGTTTTCACTTCGGTGGCCGCCCCACCTTTGAACCTGGTAGGCCGCCGTCTGGGCCCAGTAGTTTGAGACAGCCAAGCCTTCACCGGCCCTGTGCCGAACGGCCCAGGCCCGTTCGCAGTTCACTGCACGTAATGAACAGTGCCAGGCAGTGAACTGGTGGTTTAACAGTGTGAACTACCCTTGGTGGAAAAAGCAAAGAAATTAACAAGAAGGAACGCAGTTAGGGGGACGGAAATTAGTGCGTGACCAGCCAAAGAATGCAGGTGTATTAGTTATTCAGAGAGCGATGCGGGGACCAATTGAGAAGGGGTTGAAACGAGGGTAGAGAGGGGAGGACAACTCCTGGCCGTAACCAGGGGTGACCTACTGCTACGGGACCCATGTCGACCGAAGAGAAAAAGGCGAAATCACAGCCTAGCGGTGGCCAAATAGCGCTGAGGGATGCTCTTTGAAGAAAAATAAAGAATATTCTTAACTCCACTATGTACGAAAAGAAAGCCTAGCAGGCCAAATAGGGCCGAGGAATCCCTTAAGAACGAAGAATAAATTTAAATCCAGCAAGATCCAGACATAGCAAGCGCCGAATATGGCTGCAAGTCATTGCAAAAAAATAAAAAAAAATAAAAAAAATCGTATTGAAATAAATTGGAGTAAAGTTAACGGGCCAAATAGGGCCGAGAGAGAGTTGTATAAACAATTGCCAGCTTTTATTGTTTTATACATTGACGCGTGACATTTCTTCTGAGATGTCGGCATGATGAACTGTCTATATGCCTGTTTCACCTCGTTAGGGAGGAACTGGCCAGGGTTGAAGCAGTGGGTGCAGTAGTAGAGGGGGAGTCACATGGGAAGTCGAAGTTAGGATGATAAGTGGGAGAATAGAGTTGGGAGTGTATGGGCAAGGATAATGTTACATGCTGAAAGCCTACACACGGGCCCCTCACGGGACCCGAGGTTGGAATAGGGCCCCCAGGTCGCGTCACCGCAACCTGAAGGCCCTATGGCATTTTTACTTGGGCCTGCATCAGAAAAACGCCAGCTTTAGATTATTTTATATTCTTTTATTTATTTATTTGCTGCTGTTTTTCTAACGGTTGTACTGTTGTCCGTTTTGTGGCCAGGTACACGTTTTAGGAC